TGAAAATGGCAATTGGTGACATTGGTGATGGGGAGGACTGAGAATGTAAATGAATAGAGAACAACAGAATCAACAAAAAAAAAGAAAAACAAGCGGAACAAGTAATAACAACGAAACAGAGAAAAAAAGTTGAGAAACAAAAGTTGTGATAATATCTGATGAACAGATTACAGAAATATGCATTATTTTCGCGTAGTCTAACCAAACAAAAGGTGGCAACGAAAAAAAAAACAATGAACTTGGTAAATTGTAACGGCAATGACAAAAATTCACTTTCCATTTGGTCTTGTTACATTCCAATGGATCCCATTTCCTTCGGTGAAATGTTGTTAAAGCGATTTATTTGTTTTTTTTTTTTCATACTTTTTCCTATAATATCGAACTGATGAAATATTTTATGCAAATCTCCTTCCCGCTCTATGTTCACATTGCCATTGAGAGAAAGTCAAACCAATTTGGTGATTTTTTTGCTTCCTCTTCTTACTTTTGCATTCAGCTTTTTCTTTTGATTTACCGAAAAATAACAAAGAGAATCAACAAAAATGATAAGATTCAATAGCAACAACACACATACACAATACTAAATTACTCTGAACCCGTAACAATTTACTATAAAAATTTATAACATTTCGCATTGTTGTCAATGGATCGATGTTGTAGATCCATTTTTGGTGTGTATCAAAGTGCTTCACGCTTTGTGAGTGCGGGTGTATGTATTTGTGTGTTTGAAAGCAAAGTAATCAACAAGCGCGTTCTGTAGATTCAATTCTACGTTTTTTTTTTTATTATTTTATTCTTTTCTATCTTTATCTCGCTTTGCTTGGATTGCATTGATATTGAACGCTTCTACATGACACCAATTCTACATGATATCGACTCACTTTCATTCGATCGGTGTTATTGATATTGCTGCTGTTTTTGTTCGTCTATTTTTTTTGAAGAACTTTGAAAAAATCATTCACATCCATTTCGGTCATCGTTGCTGTTCGTTGAAATTTACTTTTTGCTTTACGTTGATTTCGTGGAATAATCGTTTCGCAGAAATGCAAAGATGAAAAATTTGAAAACACATCGAAGCGTGGGCATTTTGTTTTCTTTATTCTCAAAAAATGCAATTATTCACACTTTTTGTTTACATATTTTTATTGCTTTTCAATTTATTTTTAAAAAATGACGTATTGTTTATATGATCTGCGTGAATCTATTATTTGGTCTGACATATGATTCTCCGTTGGAGTTTTGCAATTCATTCAATTTCATTGTTGTTGGGTCTGTTGTCCTAGTTATTATGCAAATTATCTGCACGTCATAGATCAGGAGCGTTCGGACAAAGCAGACAAAATGAGTGCCGCTGCTACTTTTCCTATGAAATAGTGGACACTTGTTAACTTTCAGAACTTGAGATTGATGAGAACGTATTTCAAGGCAATGTTAAGAATTTACCGAGAATCGTGCGTATCAACTCATTGTTTGGTTTCTGTGCCATCTCCTATGTTTCGTTAGTTCTAGGGGGTAAATACGCTTTTTTATCCACCAACATTTATTTTATTCTTAAAATCTGATTAAAACTCACAATATCTCAATTATAAAGATCCATCAAAGCCTACATCCAGAATTATTTTTAGATCAGAATATCTCCCAAAAATGTAAATTTGCGTTCATATCTCTCGATAGCTCTTGAATTCGTTGAAATCTCCTGATTTTGTTCATATTTCTATATATTTAAAAGCGCGGTTACCCCCTAGCGTTAGTTATAATGTTTTATTTAGTAAAGAATGTAATCTCATACAAAATTCAACTAGATACACATTGTATATACAATGTCACATCATGTCAATAATTCGATACATCTAGAACGTTCAATCATTAAATTGCGCAAATAAATTGTATATCCATTTACAGCACCATTCTATATCCCATTCTACACATCAAGTCAATACAGTGCCTCGTGTTAAATTATCATTACAATGCAATTCCCATTTTGTCATATTCTTTTCCGTTTTATGTCATTACCTGTAAACTGTGCGCTACAGATGTAAAAAATACAGAACCTTTACATTTTTTATATGCGTGTATTCAACTGAATTCATTGGTCGATGTTGCGATATTTGAACTGATTTCATGTGTGCTATTGAGTGTGCGTATGAATAGAACTCCCATTCAAATTCAAATGTGAATGTGATGCATGAATGGGAGTGTATAGTGTTTTCGAAAACAATGGCAGTTACTGGTACTCAATCTGTAACATTCTCGGGCAAAATAAACGTGTGAATGGAGACGACACCGAAAACAACGTCGAAAGTATCAATGGCCATAATTGCCGTTGGTCGCCACATTATGAAACGTTAGCAAATACGGTAATGTTAATAAATATTAAAAGTCCAACATGATATCCAATCTTTTATTATTCTTATCCTTTTTATTCTTGGTCCAAATACTCCGAATGGATCGTTTTTATACACCAAAATGATGTATTCAAGAAAAGAAATCTAGACACAAAAAACCGCCGGGTCTTGCTATGATATTCAATAAAATGTGGGTATCGGCCAAATGAGAGCGAATGAAGGGAAAAAGGACATAAACAAATCCCAAACAGACTACGGAATGCGTTTAGTATTTCATGTTGACTCTTTACGTTTCAAAGGTATTCATATGTGAACAATTGTTAAACATAATTCAGAAAAAATAATGGAAGACCGAATCTGTTGGCATCTTTTACTTTGGTTTTGTATCAATCCTTTTTTTAGTTTATGTGACAGCGCAATGTGAATTTGACAGCACACATTTTATGTATGTGTATGCGTGTGTGTTTTTCAGCGTCAGTGTGTGCATTTGACTGTAAGTGATAGCAAAAAAATGTGCTGAAGGAATCTAATTATTATGTTTTTATGCTCTCATTTTGTTATTGTAGGATTTTTCGGTGCCTCCTGTTAATTCTCTGGTTGATATCTTATGGCATTTTCACATTCAATAAGATTTCAGTTTTCACAACACTCTCCAAGTTCCATCCAATTTATAACAATGTATGTCAATTACGGTCGAGTGTGTTTGCCTTTTCATATTCCTTTTTGTTGTTTTCATTTGCCCCTGTGTGTGTGTGTGTTTCTTTGTCAATTTAAAGAAAGCTTAAAATCACTTTATTCCGCATTTATCTGTTATAAAAATCTGCCAAGAACTTATACAGTACCATATTCACTGCGATTATTGCCAATTGCACTGTTAGTCAGTTCGAGTGGCGAATAGATAGCGAACAAATAAAAGCACATTTCCACTTTTATTGTGGATCATAAAACAGTTGCAATATTCTCTTTTATAACCAAAAACTTGAGCAAAAACTTGAGCAAAAACATCCAATAATAGTACCGGAAATGTACTCCGATTCCGTACGGTATTTGAAGTGTGTAAATCAAAATGAAATATATCATACGATTTCCGGCAATGTGTTCATTTGTTTTAGTGTTAAATTGACATATTCATTGAATTTGTCCCATAAAATACTGTAAATCGTTGTAGATCTTGTACATTACAATATACGAATGAGTGCAACAGACATGAAACGAAACTTTTGCAGCAAAAGTATGTTTTTGCGGTATGAATTGAAATGACAAGCATTCATGCATTCAGATGGGAATAAATACGTCGCATTTAATGTGGTTTTCTTTTAATAAACACTGAAGTGTGAAAAACTCATGCTTCTCAGATTCTTGTGCCATGAAATCGATGAAAATGTTTCGCATCGTTTTTGTCTTCGACATTCTCTCGCCGGCCAAAAGTTTTTGTTTTATCTATTCCATAAGTTTTCTAATCATCAACGTATGCCATCATTCCAACACATTACAAAGCCATATGCACGATGTGAATATCATTCTTTCATGATGAGAAAATTGAACTGCAACCATCTCAGATGGGGTACGGATTGTTTGTTTTTATTTTATGTTACGTCTTAGAAAGCGAACAGAAATGACGAAAAACAGGCACAATTCAAATGCCAGACGCAGCGATTTAAATGACAAGAACAATTACACTTACAACAAGAAGTTTACACAACTTTCATGCGAAATAAAAAAACGCAATGCTGATAAATTGATTTGATGTGTAATGCTCATATTTATCCCATGAAAAAGGCAACAGTAGCGAAAGAAGATCAGTTGTGTGCAATTCTAATAAGACGAATGTAGCTTGTTTTCAATATTTCTTTCTGCTTCTTTTATTTGTTCTGTGTATTATCACACTCAGACGAAAGGATTGAACGTCACTCAAGTGCTGTTAGCTTCCCTTTATTTAATTTTCGCTATCATTTTCAATTCTAATATTAATTTATTCTCAGCAATTTGGATTAGAGCAAAAAAAAACATTCGTAAAATTTGACATCCAATGGTGTTTTTGTTGTTGTCCCCCTTTTTCAACTTTTCATGTGTTTGTAATCGGCATTGAAATGAGGCGACAAATCATGTAAGTCTACTCACACGAAACCCAGCAAAATTCCCAAATTAATTACGAAGTGTATATCAAATGGATTGCGTATGCCAAAAAGAATATGTACAAAGTTTGCGACGGAGTTTAATTTAATTTCTTTATTTTAATGGAGGCTTTTTCGTTGCAATTTCAACTGCGGGCCAAGGGCCCACAAATATAATAATCTGCTTCAATAATTCAATAAGTCGATGCTTCAATTTAGCAATAAGGATATCCGCTTGAGCCATCCACTACTGAATAGACTAACATCATTCTCTCTAGTCGCCGTCACAGCCAACGGCTTTTCTCTATATTTACGGCTCATTTTTTCTATTTCTTTCTGCTTCATGGCATTCTTTATATGGCGCAAAATGTATCGATTCTAAGCAAAAATTGTTCGGAAATTTCATCAGCAATTTCACAAATGAAATGACTGCACCATTACTTAAATCGAACACGTATATTGTCAACTTGAAACTGAAATAATTTTTTTTTTCTTTTTGTTTGTTCGGTTGTTATTGTCATTCATAAGAGCGCTTTAATCAAATCAAACCAATCCGACTATAAACGAATGAGCAATTTTGTGATTCAAGTTGGATAATCTAACAAATAAAATGCCATCGCCAAATATCGTTGGATGTCTGATTTAAATTGTCTGATGAATTACAGAAATTACACAAACCCATCCCCGCCCCCAAATCTAAACTATAAACAAAAGTGGTTTCGTACATTGCGTATTACAAAGTTACGAAATCTCTTCGAATAAGACAATGATGCATCGAAACGAAACGAAAACGAATTACATATTTAAATATGTTCTGACGATATCCATAACCATTGATGATTGAGTATTTGAACGGATGTGTTGTGTATGATTTTGTACAAACAGTACCTTATATTCATTCGTATGGTGTGTATGTAGAAAGTTAAACGCGCTTTTTTGTGGGCACTTTTTTTATTTCGTTTGTATCGCTTCGTCTATTTCGTTGAAATTGTAACAGCTATTGATTTCATTTTATGTTTTTATGCTGTAAAGCGTTTTCGTTTGCTAGCGTACTTCTGCTTTGTCTCGTTCAGAGTATGCATTTCATCCGTCTATTGTTTTTACTGTGCGGCACTGCTCGATTTTTTTTTGCTTAGCTCGTTTTTTTGCTCTGCATTATTCACAAATTGTGGGAAAAAACATAACGAAGTTCGGTATGAATGAAGCGTGGTGGTATCGATAATGTAAGAGGAGTGAATGACTGTAAATTTGAAATGTATGCAGTATAAATAACGGTACTTTAATTCTTTAAGGCATTTTGAGCAGACAAAGCGAGAATGTGAATATATATATATATAAGATGAATTTCTCACATCTATTGTTTTTTTTCTTCTTTTTTCTCCTTTTATCTTCTTCCCTCTTCCTCTCCCTTTTTTCTCTCTTTATCTCTCTCTATCTCTCTCTCTCTCCCAACCGAAATTTCATGGAATAAATAAATTTGTTGAGATAATATCGATAAGTAGCTTTCAACTATTGGTATATGTTGCTCTTCTGTATCTTCAATTTTGCCATATACGTATGTGTGTGTGTGGGTGCTATGTGCTTCATACATTCTTTTCTTTTATCGCACTTCCAATGACTAGCTGTCATTTAGTGTTTACTTCAGTTAAATTGTCTTGCCCTTTGAAGTTTCCACAGCGATGTCAAGTGTTTGGTTTCACTACATTGTGTGTATGAACGTCAGCAATGTGCATCGTATTGAATATTATGTTCAAGAGAGTGAGACACACACACACACAGAGAGAGAGAGAGAGAGAGAGATAGAGAGAGAGAGCGAGAGAGAGATAGAGAGAGAGAGAGAGAGAGAGAGAGAGAGAGAAGAAAAACGATTTGAAGACGTCAGAGCTGGAGTAGAAAACTAGAGTATGTTACACATGAAGGCATGTTGATGGTGTTCATCTTGATTGCAACCTATAAAAAGTGTTATTTAATAATTCAGTTTGTGAGGACGGTGTATATAAAAAGAATTTTTTTTCATTCTCCTCCTTTTTTGTTGCAGTTGTATTTTACTTTTATTTCATCGTTTACGATGGGAGCATTGTTAAATTCTTTGAAATCGATTTATTTCATTTTGACATGAGTAAACTGTTGTTTTATCTCCATTTCCATTTTTCTTGATTTTTTTTTCATTCCTTTACTTCTACTTTACTTTTTAGTTTTTGCGGTGCATTTGAGTGTCTTTTTTCGCGTTGTTCATTTTTCAGACGTTCTCTTGCATCTCTCTCATTGAATCAGTGTGGTATGGATGGTAATCGTCGTATCATAAACCGCGTATGTATGAACTCTTTCCAACTTAAATTACACTTGACTGCGGTCATGAAGCTTTGCTCAAGACGATTCAACTTTATTTTTCAACATTGTTTTTTTTGTACCATTATTCGAAAAACTCCGTCAGAAAGACGTTACTATGGCTGTTCATTTATTTCAATTCTTGAATATACAAAAAAAAAAATGAAATTGATAGTAAATTTAGCGATATGGTTCATAACGAAATCCATAAAGCATATTCTCTATAATAAGAGTAATACAAACAACGCACTCAAGATTGATTATTGTCGCAATCCATAGCAACAACGTATTTTCTACATACGAAAATGAAAACTTTAGTGATTCTTTTTTTTTTGTTTGGATGAATCTATTTTTACAGAAAAAAAAATCATTTGTCATTTTTTGTCCTGTGCAAATGGTATTCATTTTTTTACTATGGCTACGAATCACAACGTATACATTGGTGAAATTGAATAACCTAGTACCATTGTCGAGTTTGTAATGAATTCGTCGTTTCACATAGAAAACAAAAACATACCACGAAATAACAGTGAATATAATAATGCCAGTCACATCAATGCACGAATATTTCGTTTTGGATGTAGCTAGAGTGGTGAAAATGGGTGCTCAATTTCAATTCCATCCTCCAAATGTATACTAAAAAATGTTGAAGGGCACTTTAGACCAACAAAAAAAAAACGCAAAACAAAAACCGTCTACATGAAAATGCCTCAAAATACAAATTTATTTTTTCCCTGACAAAGCCACATAGTAATTCGCGAATTATTAAACCGTAAATGAGAGCAGACTGCGTCCAAACCTTATTCGCCCAAGTGATTATATTAGCTTTAAAACATTTACATATCAATGTATTCAATTTCAAGTATAGTATCAGTGGTACACTCACCAAAACTGTATGCAACCACATGAAATATAAAACAATCATGATAATGCTCACACAATTCATTCACAAAAAAATACACACTCAAAAATTATAAACAAATAAATATGTCATAAACGTAGGTCTCTTGAATTTGCGCAAATCATTTTCAATAAAATTAAAACCATCTTTTATTAAAAACATTATTCGCATATAAAAACTTAATATAAATAATTATATAAATACTTGTTAAAAATATTTTCTTGTAATGCACTGATTACTACAATTTATGAAAAACTTTACTTCAAAATAGGAAGGAAATTGCGCATAATGGCTCCTACAGTCGACATAATTTATATTATGAATGCATGAAACATTTATTCGACAGAGAGTGGGTAAGTGAGAGAGAATGAGAGAGTGAGAAGAGAAAAGATAGAACAGTAAATCCGAATGAAAAATTGTTGCTTTTTTTCAATGCCAAATTCCTTTAACACATTCATCGAACGAAAACTACATAAAGCGTACTTTCTCTCGATGACCCTCAAGTTTCTTTTGAAATGTTTGGATTAACAAAAAAAAGGTGAAGAATTAAATAGCGGTAGTTTCATGCAGTTGGGTTCATTCATTTTCAGAAGCATTTATAAGACACGAAGCTCTTTAAATTTTAAAGGGAGCTAATTTACCAAAGTTGCATTCAGGCTGAAGTACACTCTTCGCTTTTCGAGTGATTTTAATTTTCATCGAGAGTCATTTTACATTTCGATTCAATGGGTTGTATGCGAGATGAACTATTTTGTGACATGTATACTGAATAAATGGCATTTTGGAGTTGAAAAGCTTTCTCAATTTGTTTTTTGATTTATTTTATATTTTAAAAAGCAGCGTGATAAATTGCTTGTTCTGTATTTTGAATGAGAGGCCAACGTACGTGCAATTGACATTAAAGACACAATACAAAGTATATGAAATAAATAGCAAAACTATTATGATCTGTGCAAAAGTCGTATTTCTCCGTTTCTTTTGGTTGCGCATTAATTTTTGCATAAAATTTACTTGAACGATATTGTTCCAGATGTTCAACAATACCAATTCAAAGCGCAATGCTTTTGTTCGTAAATTGCTGATACGGGTGAAATGAAATTCATTTTCATTTAAAATAAGACGTGCTCCCTAGCATCGTAATGAAGAAGAAAAAAGTTGATTGTATAACGTATATATGTACATATCTTACTATTATCCTTCACAAATATTTCCTTCTCTTTCAACCGATTTGGTATACAGGGTGACGCATATAATCGGGTTTTCCAGGGGGTGGGAATTTTGAAAAACCCTTTGGGGTATGTTGAGGATGAAAAATAGAAAATTTCTATCGGAGCAGAATTTTGAATTTTTCCCCAGGGGAGGTGAAGGTGCCCCCAATTTTTCAAAAGTTCATCGGATCAAAAAATAATGTACTACAAAGTTGTTCAGAATGACGAGAGACAATTTTTGGGCCCCTGCCCTCCAAGTCACCCCTACCCTTAAGGGAAAATCAGATTATATGCGCCACCCTGTATATAGAAAGGTGTGCGCATGCATTTCTTCAATGTTTATCAGAAAAACAGTGCCTACATTCATCGAGCTCATTTTTTTTAGATGGTGAAAATATGATATCAGTTTATCGCTGCAAATTCAATGAATATGAGAATAAAATGCTAGAAACGAATTGGATAAAAAAAACTGCGTTGGTATATAATTCGTTCGTTGACCGGGTCTCTCATTGGTTATACTAATGTCATCATGTCAGTCATATGGTATATTGTTGAATGACGTGTGAATTTCTCGTTTGTTTGTTTTTTGTGTGGGTGGTGGTAGGCTCATGTATAGACAATTATACATGTTTTTCTTATTTATGTTATGCTAGAAAAATAATTTCCAGAGATTGCGCGAAAACGACTGAAATGCCAATGTTACGAACCTTTTTTTAATTTTGCATTGCAATGGTATTACGACTTTTTTCGAATATTCAATTCAACAATAGATTACGAAACATAGACGCATTTACATTGAATGTTGGTAATTCACAATTTTTTTTTACAAACATGAATGACGCGCAATGTTGAAAGAAATGAAAACAAAAAACACGTTTTGAAACAGAAACAAAAAAGAAGCTATTTTATTTTAGCCCAATTAATGTGTAAACACAGATAAATATATAAAGTTGTGTATATTGACGATATATATTCAGTTTTCGTAACGGTAATGGCACAACTACACTTTACGACATCCTCTTTAAATCGATTTTTTTGAGAAATTTCATTTTTTTAAGTTATGAAAATGATGGGGAACGATGAATTGGGGAAAGCTGATTTAAGGATCAAAAGTATTGCACCTGTTCGGGGTATGAAAAAAATCAGCCCCTGTAAAAGGTCAATTTTTGGGGTCAAAATGGAAATTATCAAGTAGTATCACGTCCAGATTTCAAAATTAACTATATAGATCAATAGTAAATGAAGAAAAAATAATTTAGTGAAAAGGGGGGTTGCCCCCTTGGGTATTAGTTGGAGGGAGTACCCAACTTGTCCAAAACCTCATTGGATCAAAAAGTGATGTATGGCAAAGTTGTTCAGAATGACGAGAGAAATGTTGTAGGGTAACTTGTATACATCTTTTTGTTGAACTTTCACTTTAATTGTGTGATTCAGTTAAAGTTTAAATTTGTACAATACATATTACCGTCAAGGGTACACATCTTAATCCGAAAAGTTTCCAGTGTGTAGTTATTTGGTTTTAAATGTTTACCCATTTTGAAAAGAGTTACAATTATATATTGAAGCCATTTGATGCAATAAATTTGGGTTACACATCTGGAAATGCAGAGCGAGAGCGTATTAATAATGTGAACTAAAGTTAAATTCTAATTCAGTTTTGTTTGATTGTTTCAAATGCTCATTTAATTTGTTGTTGCATCGATGGAAAACTGCTGCTACTGCTGTTGCACGCTCACAACCAAATTTATTAGAATTTTCTCATGTTTGAAATGAATGCTGCTTTCCGCCTTATATTGCTTACTCAGGTTTATTTAAATTTTTCGGTGAAATTCACATCTGGTGATTGAAATACACACACACCCATACGAAACTTTTATTTCTATTGAATAAGCAAAATGCATGCAACCAAATCCGAAGACATACAAAAAAAATCCCGTTGAAAATCATAAATTTTCATTTCAAATGAAGAAAGTAAGAAAGAATGGAAAACACGAAACAACGATCCATTTCAAACAAGGCATTTTCAACGAAAAATTATTATCATAATTTCCGGATTGATTTACTGATATGATATTTGAGCAATTTTTGTTTGGCATAACAATTTGTAATTTTTTCTTCATTTTTCTGCCATAAAAATAGCCCTGTCTCATATATTTATGATATCAACGTTATATCTATTGAATATATCGAGAAGAGAGTATGTTATTCAGCGCTTATGGCTGAGTAATGTCTGAATAAAAACATACTCTCCTCTCGATATTTTCAATAGATATTTAGAGTTACTTTATCGCAATTTTTCATATGAGACGTTTCGCCATACAATATTTATTCCAATGGCCAACCCATCAAACTAGATACATGGAGAAAAATAGCTTCTTTCGGCTGTGTGCATTGAAAAAAAAAAGGAAATAATTTATTTGGACACGATATTGAATTATACAATGATGTTGTTTGTACAGAGAGTGAGGGAGACATAGAGAAAATTCGTTTATTTTGTTGTCTTCTTCGAAAAAATAGCCAACACAGTAACATGTGTTGTTTAGGTCAGAAAATGGAATTTCTAGATCGAGGAAGCACATTAACCTACTCAAAATACAATAAATGAAATCCCACAAATGGCTGTGCACATTAATTGTGCGAGAAAATAGAATGAAAAGCACCGAATATTTGTGGTAAATTTTGTATTGAAATTGAAAGTACTCGCTGTAACTAAATTGATTTGTGAACGTATATTTTGGAAGTGCTTTCATATTTCCAAGTACCATCATTATTAAAAAATTCTGTTGATTCAGCAAAATTATAACGAATTATTATGGCAATATTGCAATATTTTCGTTTCAATTTAGTGATGATATACTGTTGGGAGTTCCATGTTGTTATTTTTTTTTTTATTCTTTCATCCCATCTCTCTCGTACCCAAAATAAATTAAAAGTGGTACAAAATTGACTTTTCACATGCACATGTTTATTTGTTGTTTTTTTTTTATTAAAATACTTTTGCAACGTCTCTACGGGGAATTTTGAAATTTTAAACCTATGTATGTGCGGTATCGATGAGTTTAACCAAAACAAATTTTTTGATTGTAAAACTTCATGTGAATTTTGAGATGCGAAATTTTTGGTTGCGACATTCATGTCAACATTGTTTGTGCAAAAACAAAAACACACCATCCATATCACTTGAAATGGAAGAGATTGTCTCTTTGAATAGTGTTTACTAAGTAATGGCAGCAGTACCCGCGCGAACGTCATGTAATTGGAATCAACCAGCAAGTATTCTCCATAGAGATAAACTAGAATAAATACAAATAATATGGTAGATAAAAAAAACGCAAACTTCTCACGTAATTTTAAAGCAATGTTACGAGCATCACAATTATAGGAAAGAACACGCGATTTGATTTTGTTAATGGAACGTCGGAGAATTTAGATTAATTTGACGTGCTCATTGTCAATTTCATCACGGCAACGTGTCATTGATGAATGAGGACACCTCGAGATAACAATGATATAACAACACGATGATAGACGGTTATGTTTTAAATTTGCACTAATTTACGAATATTTCAAACGAAACCATCGCAAATTTAAATCACCGCTGACGTGATAATGAAACAAAATGTTCTCATGAAAATAAAATCGCCCGAACAAGCAACAGCATGCGTCACTTGGTCGACTTTGGACATAAAAAGAAAAGAGTTCTTATATTTCTCAGTCAGTTCCTTGAATAGGTGATGCTTAAGTATGACATCAAAGTCTTTTCATAATATTAACTCATTTGTTTAATCGAAAATGAAAATAATGTGTTACAATTTCATTCGAGACATTTAATGGTAATTCGAGTTAGAATTTGAATTATGTGACGTGGCGTCGCATAATGTTTTTTCTTTGAATTTTTTTTCATTTTCTTCGGAAATTAAAAATTATGACATACAGATTATAAACGCCGGTCTGGACATATGAAATAGGACCGAAATCATTCAAAGTTGAATCGAGTTGCATTGATCTCCCATATGAAACTTCAACGCTATGCGCGTCAAATCGACGTTATTCGACGCTATTCCATGTGTATATAGAATTGTACATTATGTTTTACAGTGGTGCAAACGCAAGCATGCGGCCACATATACACCAATACGCGCGCTATACTTAGTTGCGAGTATCACTTGCGTTGTATATTGACAATGTATTTGAACGCGACTCGATTTAAGAAGCGCCATCTCTTTCACGCCAGGTTCTAATATATTTTTTTCTTGCAAATAAAATTGCAAAATTGTATAAATTGAATAAGTTTTGCAATAATAATAACGAAAATAATTAATAGAATTTATAATAAATAAAAAAAATTGAAAAAAACACACAAATATTTTATATTATATGATATGTGGCTTTGCCTTGTAGACTTTGCCTTGTAACATGTTAGACCATGTAGAGATGGTTACGTGGAGAAAATATGTATTTGTCAAACATTCATAAATCGAGTCGCGTTGAAAGCCGACTGTAAGTGATACTCGCTTAGTTGCCTGTTATGTTTTGTGTATTGATTTGAATTGCAACTCAATCACAGTAGACGACGCATGCACACCACTGTGAAAGATAATGTACAATTCTATATATACATGGAATAGCGTCAAATAACATCGATTTGACGAGCATAGCGTTAATTTTTCATATGGGCTATCAACTATATTGAACATAGTTCGAAACGAAAGGAACGAAAAGTGTAATAATATGAATAGATTGGAGATTTAAATTACATTGTTGCCATGAAATTATATTGTGAGTCCGTGCAGCTTTTCCATAGATGTCAACACCAGTGATCCGAAAATATAAGGCAATTGATTTAATTGAAATTTTGCAAGTAACGTGCGAACGGATTTCGTGTCAATTTTTCAAGAAAAATCTACAGTAATAGCTTTTAGCTCCACACGCATACAGTAAATGCAACTTTGGTAATTTAAATTGATCTAATAGGCTCAAATGTAAACGAGACACATTATTCATCTTTTTTGCGGTAAAAGTTTGCATTTAATAAAAAAAAATCAAAATTAAATTATTACTTTAAAGAAATTCGTCAAACGAAGCGAAGTGAAAAAAAAAGCAACAATGTTTCAATATAAAAATGTGTTGAAAGAATAAACGATTTAATGGCGTGCTGGGCATTACATTCACTTGTATTTCAAGTGGTATAATTGCCATATCACATCTGTGGCTTCTAATTTTACTGTCCACAGCGACATAATTAATTAGGATTACTATTACGAATCATGTTGTCATAAAAAATTTAATTTTCTGTCCCATATTTTTGGTTAAATTTCGTTAGCTAACCAAAAGAATTCTCAACAACATCAACTATTTTGGGTTGGTTTTATGATATCATTTTGATGTTGTCTCGGTCGCATTCACTCATCATTTCGTCATCACCATTAATTTTGGCCATTTTCTCTCGGCGCAATTTTTTTCATATGCCCACTCCAAACACCATCGTCGTTTCTCTTCTTTTTTTTTTTGTTATACGTCTTGTGGCTTCAGACGTTTTGCTTTTGTTGTTGTATCTTTTTACCACGTTATCGGTTTTTATTATATGAATAAATTTAAGGTCACTGTCATATTGATCTTTGTAATGTCAAATGCATATAACCTAGCGGAAGTAAAATTACTCTTACAGGCGCTCAGTTATCTTTTTTGATTTCTTTTTTGAACTATAACAATGGAAAGAAGTGAAAAAAAATGTTATTCGTGTTGCGTGCCATCATTTTTATTGCTCTGACCTGGACAATATTAAGATGAAAAATGTGAAACAAATCTCATGGAACATAAAGCTTCACTTGAACCAAGTAACCGAGAGATTTTCATTGGGAATTGCTTGCGAGCCGCATAGACTTGTCAAATAGCACCAACGAGTGTTGCCATTTATTCGTCATAATAATTTGCCGTTTTCATGATAATTACTGTCACCCAGCCATTTAGCATAGATACCGTGTAGCATTACATTCGGTTACAATACGACTTTTCCTTTCATAAGCTTTGTTTTTCATTTCATTTCAGAAACCAAAAGATGCGAATTATTGGATAATTTTGGTGGAATATATTTGTTAAATAGGCAGGAGGGAGGTGAAGAAGAAGGAGAGGAAGCAGAAAACATTCAATCCACATCGATACACGCAAACAATAATGGATTCGCATGCAACAACTGTTGTCAATTGTATGCTATTAGCATTGAAAACTTATCCATTCAAAATCTATATCAATGATAGTAATGGTGTGAGTGCCTTCAATCCAATAGCAGAATTAAATCTAACTAATGGACCGACCATTTTAACGGCTGAATATTCCGTATATGGAAATGCACCAACCAGCGCCAGTGCCAGGTAAGTTTCGCATTTTAACAAATTACGACAATATTATCGACAACATGTAATTATATCCCATTTTCAAACATTTCGCTATTTAATTGTGGGATCGATAACAGTTGGCCAAAACAAAAGCTAAAAATAGTCGAAAAATAAGAACGAGGACAAAAAGCACTTTATATGTGCGTCAGCTTTCAACCACTGAATTCAAATGGTTTCTGCTTTATTTTAACCGCACATAACATTACAAGCAAATAATCAGGAAGCGAATACAAATCCTTCTTTCGGCATTATTCGCCAAATATTATATCCCTTTTTTACGAAACTTACTTTGAAAAACCTAATTTGATATATTTAGTCGAATTGAGTTTGAATCTTTGCTAACTTGTTTATCCATTGCTCGTCTTGAATTAAGTACTTTTGATATAGGTATGATTTTTATTGAACGAAATGTATGCGGTTTTATATAAAAAAAATCAACAAAATCCTAAGAGTAAAATCGAGTTATTCTAACGAAGCGAATTAATTGCTTCGAACTGAAAGCAACCGAAGTATTTGCGAGTGAAGTACATGGGATGAAAAAAAAACATCGTACAAATTGAATATGAGATGCAGTTCTATCTAAAAATGCGTAGGATCGTAGCTTATTCTCGGCACTCAAATTGATTTAACAGAAAGGCAACTTTGATCGGGATGGGAATATTTCCGGTTTTATGCTTTTGTAGAATAAAAATCATTTCGTTTGAGGAATTTATTTCGGAAGATTTTTAAATCTTAAGCAATACTATTGTATTCATTTTTCAATTTAATGCAATAAAAAAAGAGTATAATAGTGAAGTTTAAAAATTGCCAATTTTTTAAATTGATAATAAGTGCGTAATTAACACAATTAACAAACAACATTTTTTGCTCTTTTTTACTTTATCAAATATATTTATGATTCCAATGAAAAATATAGCTTACACATTTTTACAGAGATTTTATAACCGATTGCTTTAAACCGTCACCTAAGAGACCGTACGAAATCCCCTGGGAACAAAAAGTATTGTGGGCCTTTCTTTTCGGTAGCATGCTGTTGATTGCCATTATTGGAAATTGCATTGTCATTTGGATAGTACTAGGTAAGTGAAAATGTTTTTTTAGCACCTATTGTATACACTAGCCATGATGTACGAAAACTCAATTTCTATTAATAATGGATTAAAATGTAAAAAATGTACACAAACATTCAGAAACATACTTGAAAAATCCGCGATACGGCGTAAACACAACACAAGTTGTGACACAAAAATAACAAGTGAAAAATTACTCTCATCAATATTCATACTAAAAAGTTTGTGCCAAGCCGAGCAAAACGATTTTTAGTCATACTTGAAGTTTGATGTACATAATTAGAAAACCGAAGTACAATTAGCGTCGACATTTTTCTCCAATATCATTCATCCATCATAAAAATCTAGAGGTTAAACAGCAGAAAATACTTGAACAAAGCGCTGCCAAATCCTCTCCTCAATTTCTATAATATTTGAATGTGAAAAAAGAAAGAAAATTTTGATGCTGCATTTGAATAGAAAAAAATCATAAAATCAAATTCTGTAGAATGGGAGTTCTTTAACCATAAGAGTTCAAATCGATTGTCGTGCCAAAATCGCATAAACTTCTACTTCAAATGTAAATTTTCACATAGTTTTTCTTACACCCACGCATTACATTTATTGAAATAACCATTTATATCGATCCGACCGTATACACATTTCCATTCGCTTGCTCGTGCTTTTACCTTTGTTTTTTTTTTCTCTAATTTCATATAACAAGATTTTCAGATTTCGTCAGGACTAATAAAGTCATTTGAATTGAATCCATATACAATTTCTGCGAATTTGGGTTCAAAACAATTATGAGAGAGCTAGCTATAAATAAACTCATACTTTCGCTAAATTCGCATTATAGAAAGACTGTGTTTCATGTCGAAATAGTGTTGTACACATAAGTTCAAGAGTGTACACTCCGGTACACTCACTAAAAGTGATTGTACACTTAATTTTAACATTTTGGTATTGTTCACCTTTTGAGCCGCCATTATCCACAGCTATGAATTTAAAACAAATAGAATCTATCACATCAAGCATATAAAAACTTCAAAGTACGTAAAGTAGCAGTATAGATGGCAATATAAATGCTGTTTGCTTGAACATTTTTTGTTTGGTTTTATTTTAGGATTGGCAATTGAGTAAAGCATCTGGGACAGGAATTACATTCCCCACAAATGTTGAGTATTTTTCCTGAACAATTCCGTGTAAGACAAATATCTACTGGGAGCATCAAATGTGACACTTGATAAACTCACTTATAAGCATGTCATGTTGGTGTGTGCTTCTCGTTTCAGTTTCCGATTGTAATAAAAAAACTGCAAATAAAATTCACACAATGAACTCGTAAACGAGCTTTATTTAGCGGGCAGCGTAATAGTGGCCGGTTATATTCCCATCTGAAGTGGAATAACATCACAAATCAGTCAATTGTAGTGGTCTTTAACCATGTTTTTGGACGCTTAATTTCATACGTTAGGGATTTTATTTTCACTTAATTTACCCTTGTACATGTGCGGCTCATGAAATTGCCCAAAATGGCCAGGAATATTTGTATGATGATTTTATGGGAACCAAAATATGACAATGAATGTACACACACATACACACATTGATCGATCTAAATGTGTTGTATGGAACTTTGTCCGGAATGTTGTAAAAATAGAAATGAGCACACTCCATTCGAAGTGTATACAATAATTTTTTTTAGTACATGTTTCATCCGCTTCGCTGGTGTGTGATAACCATGGTTTGCGTTAATGTCATGTGTGCGTTTCGAATAACTTTTTATGATGCTCGTCAAAACATTTGTTCCACTAAAATAAATTGCAAAAAAAAAATGTTTTACAAAGCCATAAAACTTCTCACTTACGCACGCACAAACACATACTTATATTACATTCGATCTATATTGGGATAATTTTTCACAAAAACTACGTGTAAAATGTCTTTTGTATCACTTGAATTAATGTTCAAGCCGATCGCAGACACACACAACCTTATCATGTCTGCATTCACTGTATAAATAACGATTTTTCAAAAAAAAAAAAAAGTTTCTACATGATTCATTAGTTTCGCAGTAGTGTCCAACACACAGAATCCAGATGGTTTGCAATGGAAACGCACAAAAATCAATATAAGCCTATGCGGAGACATTGAGCAAAATCATTTAAGAAAATGAAACTTTGATACAGAATTAAGTTACAAGCGGAAAAGAATATTTATTCTAGTTTATGATTCTGTTGACCTCTTCATCAAAGAAGTCGTTTTTCTCCTCTCGGTAACGCTTATCTGTGCACATTAAACCACTTTTTTTGGCAAGAAGTTAAATCAACGTGAGACAGGTATTAAAATAATTGGTCAGAGAATTCAGTTCAATTAATCAAAAAGGGATCCCAAGTCGATTATTATGTTTCCTTGTACTATGTCTACTATGATACATTATTTAAAAGATCTCGTCATTTAACAGTCATTGTCCTTATTATGGTTTTTTTTTATTTTAAATTATAATAAGTGCTACTGCAGGCGTCTCTTTGGAAATTCCCCGATGAACACATAACATGATTTCCATGCAGTGCCATAATATGAAATTCAAGCGTAAACAAGAGAATGAGTTAATTTTGTCGTTTATACCGTTTTTGTTATGTGACCAGTGTTTATCGATGAACAATTACAGTAGACTCTCATTCAAATGATGACATATCGATAAATACGATCGAAAAAATACATGAACTATGCTTAAGTCGCTTGCAAACGTAAAGTTCGTTCATAGTTTGCTTTCATTAATATAAAGCCATTTGTTCCATAAAGTTCGTTGCCATTCGATTTGATTTGCATGTAAAAATGTTAATTCTCTTACCCTTCAACATTTTGACATTATCACCCACCCTCGTCAATTTCAAGAGCTATGGTTTGAATTTCTGAAGAATTCTGATTATCGAATTTCAAGTTGACGAAGGTCTACTGTATCACAATATTTTCCAGTGAATAATATATATTTCCCCAACCGCTTTACTTGACACCAATACAAACTATTTTCAGAATTCTGGATTTACGAATTCCAGCGATAAATGATGACAAATTACATGTGAAATTCAGTATAAGAATTTATATTTTTCCCGACAAAATAAAATAGCTGCAATTTGCATCTGGTTGTTTGAAAGATGGAATTATATGTGGTACTATTTCCAACTGAAATTGAAATCCAACTACATATTTTATTACATTATGTTGTGGTGCACCACAATGCCAGTTGTGGTGCAACCAATTTTGCATGTATTTTTGTTTCTTTTGAACAGACATTAGGTTTGAGCTATAGATATAGCGGCTGCTATTTCATAGCTGCTATTCATAGGCGCTATTTATCTCGTTTTAATGCATTTATGCATATTGTGCGTTATTTTCTACATCTCTCTCGTACTCACATTCAAATGTACAAAAGAATAGTAGGCTATGATATTCCAACTCGGTGTTAAACACAGCACACAAATTAAATAGCGCCTATGAATAGCACCTATAAAATAGCAGCCGCTATATGCATAGCTCGAGCCTAATGTCTGCTTTTGAACAAGTGAAATATGTCACTTTTCCCTAACCACATCTAACATTTGAAATGTTGGGAACGCAGACTTTAACTCGATTGACATTTTGATGCACTTTGTCGGCCGGTATCTCAAATTTTATAAGTCGCAAGAGAAAAATTATACAAAACAATAACGGGCTAAGAGCTTTTGCATATTTTTGGTTAAATCATATTCTTTGGGGCACCATCAAAGTTAATTGGGACTATATATGGCAGTGCATAATAGTACACAGAGAGAAATCTACTATGTTTCAAAACTAATGTAAGTGCTTTGCGCATGTAGAGAAGGTTCTTTTATTGAGTGTTGACGCTTAATAAAGAAAAAAAAATGAGTAGGAAAATCATAATCGTGGTTATGGTTTAACATTTCTCAAAAATGTACTGGTAATATAAATGGAATTCATCTGTGTGTATAAAGCACATATCGCAATGAAGTATCACTTTTCATATGGACATTTTGATAAATCGCCTACACACAGACAATATATTTGGATTTTGTCATCTGGATATTTAAGCTCATCTGGATAACGTTAGGCGATGATACGAAATGAAAACAATAGAAGTGATTGTTGTACTGTATAGATTTAAAAATACAACCATAACTATAACAATCACTTCTATTGTTTTCACTCCGTATCATCGCCTGACGTCATCCAGATGAGCTGAAATATCCAGATGACAAAATCCAAATATATTGTCTGCCTACACATAAAAATCGATCATCAAATTCTTTACTGAGTATCTCAACTGATTATTTCCAAAGGTCAATTCATGACAAATTTATCTTTTCTAGAAAGCACATTTTGATTGTAGCCAAAAATAACAACAATAAGCACATCGTTCGATGCTCAATCAAATTCACCGAAAATACTGATACGCTTTAGTATCAGATTTCTATTTAAATCCGACCTCAGTTGGTTCAGCTGGAAATGTTTGTTTTAATTTTTAAAATAAATATTTTGAGTGTTATGGCAAATATTTTTGTTTCGTGTGCTTGTGACATATTTGAATAGAGCACATGCCAACGGCAAAAACTGTCATAATTGAAATTCGATTTGGAGCTTACGGCTTCACTAGGTTAACATGGATTTTCTTCAAATTTCGCAAAAAATTTGGTATTCAAATTTCGAACGATATTTTCTCGATGGCAAAATAATTCTGAATGAACCATATATTCAGATTTTACAAATTTATACGTTTCAACTCTTTACATCCCGTTTTGTTATTTCTACAAAGGATTCTTGTGGAGCCTTTACTTGACTTCATGAGGTGAAATAAAACTGATATTCCCCCGTTATGGCGCAACTATTACTCACGTACGAAATGTTGTTAAAGAAAAGTATATATTTCGAGCTTTGTTGGACAGTTTGGCCAGAAGAGAGTGTGCGTCACTTGCAAAAGATAAGTGTTTTTGAGAAAACTTCAGTATTCTTATTTCCCTTGAACTTTGTACAATCTACAAAATATCTATCAGAATAGTAAAAAAATGCAAGAAACCGCATACCAAAAACATACACTTACTTTTTACTCAATTTAAATCCACAACGTGAAAAAAAACGTTGAAATTATGTTGGATGAAAAAGGTTTATGATTTTCTGGACGCTTTGTGATTTTGTTTAACAAAACACTAGTTCACTATGAAGTGATTGATGGATTTTATGACGTGCACATAAACTTCTTTATATTGAACTTCGAGTCCAATTTGTAGGAACTTCATTCGTGCTCTGGGAACCAATTAAATAACTAACTAACTTGGATTTCTAAATCAAGCACGTTAAATGCAGGAACACTGGCCATCTATTTATAAAGATTCGCTGGTGATAAAGCCAATGAAGTACGTTGTGTTGCCTTTGATGTGAGACGATAATTCATTTTGAATGGAGAGTTATTTTTTTCCTCTTCTTCTTTGTGTTCCACCATGAATCATATCTGCATTGGCTGTGTAATATTAAAGGTGTAGGATAAATGTTGTTGATGTTTTTCATTAATGTTACCCAAACAAATGACACATTACAATGAAATTTAAGCGTCGGCCCGGTAAAAGCATTTTGCCTACGTACGTATATCGTTTCCTATACATTATTCCTCAATAATGAATTGGTGTCGACTTGCTGGGAGTTAATTCAAATTAGCTTTCAGAAGGTATTTTGGTCAAATGAGCTTCAACAACAGAGAAAGACAGAGAGTGAGAGAGAATGAGAGATTGTGGCTCTTGTTTTGAAAAAAAAAAAACCGTTACTTCACTGCAAAATATTACAAATTTAAAATCTCAAGTGAATTGTCCATTATTAGATATGCCAAAAACAACCCAGATTTTTGTTTTTCTACGTGTCTCGAAAGAAGATTACGTTCAATTTTAAGAAGATTACAATTTTTTTAATTGCATCAGTGTGTTTTTGGCAAATGAATTCATCATCAAAGCTGACGCTCCATTTTATTTATAATGTAAAAGATCATTGACTCGCCATTTTTTGCAGCATTGAAATATTCATAGAATCATAAATTCAATCTTCATAAATGATCAAGAGACAAACATAAAAACACACACACCAACAAATTGTTAGTGAACGAAAAGAAGATACACGAGATAAAAATAAACAACAACATTAATTTATATTTATATTTATGACCCTTGACTTCTCACACGCTAACAATGATGATAAATGATCTGAAATTCCATTAATCAATTATTTATTGATTTCTGTTCGACAAAAAGAAAGTATAAATGCGTTGTTATTTTTGTAACTCCCGCACACCAAGCAACCAGCACCTAGGTGAAAGAAAAACCGAAATCACCTCACTCAAACTAGGTACTTTTTCGTTTTTTTTGTGTATTTGTTTATTTTTATTTTTAATGCATTTAGGGGCATTGACATCTTTTCACATCAATTTTAACATTCATTTTGTGATTGAACGATTTTTTTCTCTCTCTAATTAGTCAACGGCAAATGGACTCATGTTTGGCAAACATCAATTAAGTTTGCTATAACTGATACGAAGTGCTTCCAAATGACAGAAGTATCAACCAAAAATAGAGCGAGATAATTCCCGAAAAAATAGCTATAATAAATGTTGAGCATTTTTTCCGTTGATATTCCCGAATTGGTGTATTTATCGCCGGGGTCGTATTAAGTTCGGGTTTTTTTTTATTGAAAATCTAGCCTATATGTTGACATAAAACATCTGTTAAAATGTTTCTCTCGACAATGGACGAGTCAGTTAGAACGAAAGCACGATGCTGTGTATAATGAACATTTATTATTTTCGAAAGGTACACTCGAATGACTTTTTATGGTAGTCATAATTCATTGTGGCAGTCAATAAAAACTGTAACGCTGCGAGCTTTCCGCGTCAACATATTCACATATTGAACACTCTTAAATAAACACTATGCCACGAAACTCCAACGTTGTTATTCATGAATCAACCGAATCACTACACTCTTTCTGCGAATAATGTCTCGTTTACCGCCGACCTTCTTCTTGGCCTCGTCATCATCGTTCTTATATTGCAGTTAATGAAAAAAAAAACATATATACACACATAAACATTTTCGTTGGTTCCGCTGATTTGAACGACTGTTTTTCCGACGCTTTTCATCTAATAATCACTTATTAACTTATTCAACGGAAAATTACCAACTCCTTTATTTCCTTATTAAAGTGTTTACATCTAGCGATGATGTTAAATTGAATGCATATAAATGTTCAACTCAATGTGAGTTTGGATGGAAAATTTTCGACAAAATCGAAACAAGCGTTTCAAATAGTGCTGTTTGTGTTGTTGTTTTAGTGAGAAAAAATGGAATATTACATAAAGAACCGAAGTGAACATCATACAAATAGTATTTGAAGCTATTGCGTCTCATATTCATATGGGAATAAAATTACCTTGATAAATGTAGATTTTTCAGGCGAATTGTAGAAAAAAAAACAGCAAAAAAAATTCGAACTTGTTAAATGAAAATTTAAAATACGTATGTATTTTTCATGTTTTTGCAGCACATCGTGAAATGAGAACCATCACAAATTACTTTCTATTGAACCTAAGCATCGCCGATCTGCTTATGTCCTCGTTAAATTGCATGTTCAATTTTATCTATATGCTGAATTCGGATTGGCCATTTGGACGTTTCTATTGTTCGTTGAACAATTTTATGGGAAATGCAACAGTTGCATCATCAGTTTTTACTCTGGTTGCAATTTCTTTTGACAGGTAATTTAAAATTAAAATGCACTCATCTCACTCATCTATTTTCCATCTCCATTGCGATTTGAATATTTGTGCCATGAGAGAAATATTCTCGCAAATTTATGAGAATTTGAGAAATTTCTAGCAATTTAGTATTTATTTGCAGGTGATTTTTATTTTCAAACTAAAGTCGGCAATTGTATCCGTCGGTCCGAAAAAAAGTCCGCGAAATTAAAAAAAAAAATTACAATTTCGTCCGCGAATTTTTTTCTATATAACACATCCGTCCGTTTAAAATCCATGGAAAATCTTTTTATTGTAATTTCTTTAAATATATTAATTAATGAAACTACAAAAAGCATAAATAAAAAAAAAAGTTTAAATTAAAATCTTATTAGAAACTTTGCTAACTCAGAGTTAGTAACTCTTCATTAATTTTTATATAAGCTTACATCAATATCGATTACGCTATAAAATTGTAAGCTATATTTTTGTTTTCAATTATATGTTGACGTTTTCTTTAATTATTGCGATTTGAAGCAATTAAGAAAACGAAGTGACAATAACAGCAGAAAATGAACGCTTGATCATATAATATGTTGAATAAAAAGTTTATCATGGGATTATCTATCAAACTAGAAAAATACAAGTAATAACTAGTATATAACGAAGCCGGCTTCACACTAATATGCGTTCAATTTGTACGTATAACTAACAAAAGAACCAACTTCACGCACTAGAAAAACTTGCAAAACTAGATTGGTGGATGTCCCCATGAAGTTTATTATTTAGAAAAAAAATAATACCGCTCACATAATTTACATTTTCATTTTTCTTCTTCGCACCATGGAGCGCGATTTGAATTTATAAAATATTAGGCTGGAACAACAGTTGAAGTTTACATATCTTTTAACATGCATAAAAACCCTCCATATATGATAATCTAATATATATAAAACGATGAAAAACTTATACAAAACTATGTTTGAAGTTTGATGCCAAATGGAATGAAATTAAAAGTCAAATGAGACTTGATAATCCGACAACGTAAAATTTCTCTGGATCAATTAATAAAAAGCTTTTTTACTTTTCCGCACACACCTAGTGTGTAAGGTAAAGTATTGGAATCGGTCGAAAAATTGACATCCTCAAAAAACATGTTTTCTGGGTGTTTTAGGAGCCAGGGAACACGAATCTAGCGTTTTTTCGATGTCCGAATGTATGTGCGTGGTACCCTGTACGCTGTACGCTGTACGCTGTACGCTGTACGCTGTACCCTGTACGCAAAAATTTGTTAACACGATAACTTTCAAACAAGAAAAGTAATTCAAAATCTGACTTCACAGGATGATTGGGGGTGCCGAGGAATAGAAACCATTAGATTTTGAGCGACTTTGGTTGACAGGGTAAAGTGTCATGTCTGGTGTGATGCCCATGTCCATCCATGGGAAAAATTCAATTTTTCTTCCAAAAGTGATATTTAATGTATTCTTAAACACTCAAAAATGTGTATTGGGGGGTTTTTGGGTACGAGAAAACCGAATATGATGTTAGTTTTGCGATACAATCAACTTTCGAAACACTTTTCATACAAAAAATTCAAAAAATTTGGATTTTTGTATGGAAGCCATGCCTGTATGATATCGTAATGAGCTGAAACTTTGCACAGGTTATTTTTATCACACATAAATACTATTCCGAGAGTTTGAAGACATTTCAACGAATATTAGGGGCACCTCCCGAACAATATTTTGGATTTTTCGCTCTAAAACGAAATTTTGTATGGGAAGTACCCTTAATATGCATTGAAATTTCTTCAAACTTTCAGAATGTTAACTTTTTGTGAAAAAAATAACCTCTGCAAATTTTCACATGATTACGATATCATATAGGCATGGCTCCGATACAAAAATTCCCATCTTTAGTAGTTTTTGTAAGAAAAGTGCTTCGAAAATTATTTTATCTAAAACTAATGTCAGATTTAGTTTTCTTTCATGTCGTGGATCACAGTGCGGAAAAGTTCATCTTACGGATGTAAGACATTTTATTTATTTATTTATTTAACTTGTGTGTTATTTGGTGGCGTTTCTGAATTGTGAGCGTAAAGTAAACGGTATACTATATGTGGGTTATTTAAAAAAATATATATTACAAAAGTTTTCTCTGACACAATCTCATTTACTGATTAAAATGACTTTAATTGTATTTCTTTTGTTGAACTTCGTCGACATTTGTTATAACGTTCTTATTCCGTTTTCTTTTCTTTTTTTTCATCCTTTACAAACTGATGTTCTTCCTTCATCTTCATGTTCATCGAAACAAAGGTATGTGGCGATTGTGAGACCTCTTCACCGGAGAAATTCGAGAAAGAAAGCGCGAATGTTCGTTATTATCATATGGATTCTAAGCAGTATGTTGTCATTGCCATGTTTATTCTACTCAACTACCGAGTCTAAAGTGTGAGTGTATTTAATTTGTTTGAATTGAATTTGCTTTGTACTGCTTTGTACTGCTTTGTACTACGAAGAGGAATATAGTGATCGAGAGAAGGAGAAGTAGAGATAAAAGTGCATTTTACAATGTGAACGAGTGCATGCACAAAAAGAAGCACAATGGTTTGCTCATAATTAAATTGTAATTATACGAAATCCAAATGAGTCTAATTTCCTGTGTCAAGAATAATTTAATGGATTTAATTGTTGTTTTAAAACAGTAAAATATTGTTCTTTCACCAAATGCTTATGCACAAATGTATTTCATGTATTCCAAGTAAATCACATGTTCTTTTTTCTCGTTTTATCGAAACTGAATGTTTATTAATTTTGAAGCTGAGCATTCATAACTCGTAAAATCTTACAATTCAATAAACTCAACAAGATTTACAACTTTGCATGTGACGTAAAAGAAAATTTGACAAAAGGACAGGTATTATGTAAGAGGGAGAGAAGTCATACAATCTAGTAATCTTGAATAATCGAAGTGAAGAAAAGTATTCGAAGAGAAGTTTGTAAACTTTTTGAGCGCTCCGATCGAGTTATTCTAAACAAAAGAAAATTGTTTGTCCACTTCTTACTAACATAAGGGCCAGTCCGCGGTCGACAAACACTTTTCTTGCTAAGCACATTTAATAGCATACACTTCTAGGGGTAGACATGATTCATCTGATTCACTGAGATTCAAAACATTCAGATTGTTTAGATGACATTTAAAATGTCATTTGCGTGTCATACAAGAAATATTTAATAAACAATTAAAATTATTTTTCTTAAAAAATACAATTTCTTGACGTTTTTTTAAAATGTATTAACTCATCATTTTTATCTATAAAATAAAATCAACGATAATATTTAGAATTTGTTGAACGCTCATGTTAGTAAAACCCAGACATTAGGTTTGAGCTATGGATATAGCGGCTGCTATTCATATATCATGCTATAAATGATGCATTTGGATGATTCAAAGTTTTATAATTCGTGTCTACCCCCTTGATACACTCGATTTGTGAAATGCACTGCAAAGTTGCTGCAAAGCACGTATCACTGGCGCTCTCACTGTATTGCATAGTGAAACAGCTCATTAGTACGTGTGTCAAATGTTCATATTTTTCGCACACGAACTAGATGGTGCTAATAACTAAGTGTCTTTGCAGCAATGGTATGGTGAAATGTTTGTCAATTTTGTTAGCTGTGAACTGAAATTGACAAAATGTTGTCAGTGGCTACAAAACATGCCACACATCATATGAATCGTTGCGGCGAAAGAGTAGCTCTTATTTTTCTCCAAATAATATTGCAACATAAAGTTTTTTATGAATAGTTTATTTGTTGTATTACAACAAATAAACCGTGTGAAAAAAACTTCATGTTGCAGTATTATTTGGAGAAAAATAAGAGCTACTGTTTCGCCGCAACGATTCATATTTCTGTGAAACAAATCGAGTGTATGCTATTTAAATGAGTTTAGCGAAAAAAATGTACAACTCTGAACAAAAAGTCAATTTTATTACACAATTAGATGTAAAAGAAATAAAAATATCAGAAATCGACACGGGACTTTAAACACTATGATAACATCACGAAGTTTGCTCCTTAAATACTGTTGTGAAATTCAAACTTTTGAAATGTGATATTTTTGTGTAATTTAAGTGGAGACGCAAGTTTTTTTGAATTCGTATTACTGGGAAAGAGTAAACTGAACAAAGTGACAATATTCAAACGATCGAACTTGAAATAAACGAACACATTTTTAATATAACTTTTTTTCTCACAAAATTAATAGATATCAAAGTGGCAAGCAAAGAGTCGTCTGCTATCTTTTATGGCCTGATGGAAAGTATCCGACTTCACTCACCGATTACATGTAATTTAATTTCCTTGCCTCTTTACGCTTTTGTTTTTTCTCTTATTTGCCTTGTGTTTATTTGTAAATGTTCGTACACGGGTGTGTGTGCGTGTGTATGTGCTTGACTTTTTATTAACTCCCTTTTACGTTACTTTATCTCCAGATGAAAAGTTTTTTTTTATTTGCTGAACAATCTCTATATATGTAGTTCAGGAAAGGTTGTATACAACTTTCATGCGCCTAAAGACATCCAATTTCATTCAATATTGATGATCAGAAGTTACGTGTACATTTTTACATGATGTGAAATTTAGCACACTGTGTTTCTGTTTCATCGTATTATCGCATGTAAACATCTAGGTAAACATCATTTCAATGCATTAAAAAAAGGATAAACATCAGAGTGCTTGCTTTTATCAGGTTTATGTACCAATCTGATCAATTATTTAGACAACATTGATTTGCATAAAAAAATGTGTGGATATAGTAAACAGCCAATTTTTACAATTCATAATGTGATTCCACACATTTAGCCTTTCAGTTTTGCTTGTATGAATAAATTTGAATATAAATCATGTTATGAACTACTATTGTCACCACAAATTATTATGAATTTAAATAATATCTCATCGATTCGTTTATCAAACATTTATTTTTTTAACCGCCAATTTTCGGTATTTGACGGACCGAAATTGAATTAAATATTCTATTTAAAATTAACCGACATCTTGAATCAATGGAAATATTTTTCATTGGAGTTATCAACAAACTGAACGTTGCCATCACTGAAAGAAGACATTATATTGAAATATTTTCAGCCGGATATCGTCAGGAACTGAAATGAAGTGAAAACAATACAAGTGATTGTTATAGTGATTGTAGAAATGTAAGTGTAATTATAACCATCACTTCTATTGTTTTCACTCAAATTCAGCCCATGACGATATGTGGCTGAGCTGATTCATCTGGCTGAAAATATTTCAATATAATGTCTGGTTTCGATCATTCAAGAATTTTTTCGGTACTTTTTTAAATCGAGTAACTATACTTCAATTTCCAACCGAATTGGTACTCATTGAAAAGAAATGTGTGTTTATTAAAAAAAACCTGTTTTATGGCAGGATTACTTAGAATTTGAATGATTGTGGAACAAAAATAGAAAAATTGTTTATCAAAATGGATATACAGTGCCGTCAGAAAGTTTGAGACCAAGCAAAAAAATGTCATACAATTTCATACAAATTGAAGATTTTTTGGAGCAATATTTAATATATTTCAGAAAGAGCTAGTAATTTTTCATACAAAAAGGATTAAGGAAAATATAAAAAGAATTATTTTTCATACAAAATGTGTCATTTTTCACACTTGAAAGTGCAAACCTCGGATATTTTTTAAACGCGTAGATATTTTTTGGTAAAACTTCACTAGTTTACTCTCCGTAAATAAAATAATAAGTGTACAAAAAATTATGGGTCTAGCTATTTCCGAAATATATTAAATATTGCTCCAAAAAATCGTCAATTTGTATGAAATTGTATGAAAAAAAAGAGCGTGGTCTCAGATTTTCTGACGGAAAATCGATAAAAACTCCAAACATGCAAAAAAAGCATTTTGGTCTATGAAGAGCAAAAAGTGTCTTTTCAAATCTGAATGTATACCGCTTAGTTCATGGCAACGTATCAATCAGTATTCATTTAAAATGATATTTCACAATGAGAAACCAAAAAAAAAAATGAAAATTCTATAAAAACGCATACTATCCAAATATAATGGAATAAATTCTAGACTAAATACATAAGACATTGGTTTGAATGCATTCCCAGATATTAACCTTTGTTGCCAATTGAATGTGTTATATATTTAGATAAATTCCGCCGAAATGAAGACGATGAAGAGATATTTTCTACTTTGCTTCATTTTGACCTTCATAAAATTGATTTAGTAATAGAACTCAATTAATATTCGATCTCGTCTACAATTTTGACGAACATTTATTGTTCAATTTAATTAATTCTAAATTGCTTCTACAAGATCGGAATTTACTGAGTTAACATGCTCAGGCTCGGTCTCACTGAAATAATCAAAAGAATCAAGAGCAAAAAGTAAAATTAACGACTATACGCCCAAAATTGAATGAACAAAAATGAAAAGTGTCAAACTGTCTTGAAGAGGCTGTCGTTAAAAATCAAAACAATATCAATCACTTTATTGTGTTCAAAATGTTGTCTGCACATCAAGTGAACCTGACCTCATATTTTATTTATTATTTGTTTGACGTTCGAATAGTGTCGAATAAATATTTAATCATAACAATATGCAAATATCATTTGCTGTGTGTTTTTTTTTTGTTTTTTTCTTTCTCCAATTAAAATTGCGGGCGAAAAATAATTGGCATACAGTTATAACTGTGTGTTTCTAGTGCTGACATATGGAATACCTATATTGATAATGGTTGTGTGCTATACAATCATGGGACGTGTTTTATGGGGTAGCCAGTCCATTGGAGAGCATACTCAACGGCAAATCGAATCAATAAAATCGAAAAAGAAGGTTTGTATTGCATGCCCAGTAGTATGTTTCATAAAAAATCATACATTTGCCGAAAAAAAAAAAAAACAATTTATTTTCCGATCACTGCTCTGATGACATTTCACTTTGTTTCCATTACCACTCTTGCCATTCCATTTCCGATTTTCTTCTGGTTTATATTTTTGTCGCTGATATATCAGAACATTCATCAGTTTTGTGCACATGGAAAAGTCAACTATAGAACACTGATTAGCTGATTTCACCATTTTTATCAATTTGTTTTCCATTTCATTTCGTTTCGTTTCATTTTGAAGGTCGTGCGAATGTTTATTGCTATTGTCACCATATTCTCCATATGTTGGCTGCCATACCACTTGTTCTACGTATATTCGTATCATCGGCCCCACATTACATCATCTAATTATGTTCCGCATCTGTTTTTGGCATTTTATTGGCTTGCAATGTCAAATAGCATGGTGAATCCAATCATCTACTACTGGTATGATGGAATTTATGATAAGCACATCTATTATTTCAACATTATTATTATTATAAACATGATTATTTGATTTAGGATGAACCGACGGTTTCGGCATTATTTTCAAAAAATTATGTGCTTTTGCTGCTTCCATTTGTGGCAACAAAATGAATTGCTTAAAAGTGAAACAGCTTATATGCCCAACTCGATGTCAATTGAGCGGCGTTCCAAATCATGTAAGTTATAACCATAAACAGTCCCACACATTTTCGCATAATTTTACAATATTTGTGAAAAGTCAAACAAGCATACATCTTACTTTCACAACATGATTTAGTTAGAATTTAAATGATCGCACCCTTTATTTGGACCATGATTCATTAGTGTTTATAAGCTATGCACATATTACAACATTTATTTCAATTATATTTCAGTCAATATTTTTCAATTAAAAGTCTTTGCAAACGATCGATTGCGATTGATGAAAACGGCTTTAAAAAAATTAATTTCTAATTATTTGTTTGAACATTGAAATACATTTTCCACTAAAACTCTTTGTACGATATAAAACCATATAAACTCTATCACAGAGCATATATTTGTTTTCGGTAATTTTCCACAGTAATTGAATATTTGCCGCAATCGCTTCCTCAGTATTAAAGCATTTAAAATATTTAGAACAATCATAACTCGCTCTATGTCGAAATGCTGAAAATCTGGTGTTAATTGGATTGATATCTTCGAAGTAATAATCAAAGTATATACAAATAATGCATCATAGAAATAAAACAGTTTGTTCTAGTTGATTTTGCGGATAGATTCCGTGCATATACGTTAGTTCAAATTTCCCATTTTCGTTGCATAGTCGAAAATTGCAATTTATTATTATATAATTGATGATATCACATGAATTGATGTTATCAAAATCGCCAGAGGCTTTATTTCAATTCAATTTCGAATATTAATGCCCCAAAATGAAAAGTAGCATATCAATTTCGTCATCGATCAAATCAAATAAGAGACCAATGTTCCGCTTTGATCGGCAATGAATATGGACCAATGCTATTATTCTAGAGCATTCATATATACTTTCTTTCGAATAATTAAGAGATTGTATCTGATTGTATCATGTTCATAACAGCGTATTTGTATTGAATTCACAGGCCTAAAATTATCCTTCACGCTTGACTTTATGATTATACGTTACGCCTACACAAAATTCGCTACATTATTGAGAGCAACCATTTTTTGACCATTTTTCTTTTGCTACTGAAAATAAACTTTCTCAGAAACTCTTTCCGCCCATTTACCAAAAGTATCATGTGTACCGAAAATTAAAATTCTTTTCTCTGCTCAAAACTCCCTTTGCGTTTGAATGAATAATATCCAAAAATATTTTATAATATAATTTTTCTTCAATGGGCCGAAAAACAAAATATTAAAAAAAAAACAATCATACAGTAGATTCAAAACTGAACAAAAGACATGAATTAAATCAGTCTATGTATTTTGGATGATATCCATCCGAGATATTTTAGAATATCTGGATATTTAACGCAACTGCACAGAGCCAGAGCTGTGTGTCTCACATATAATCAACGGTATGTCGATACACGAAAAATATAGACACATTGTGACTGTGTACGTGCGGCACTTGATACACATATACGTAGTGACATACCGTAGATTCTATTTGCGTTTAAATTGTGTGCTGAAAATCTTGTTTGAAATGTATTTGTTTTGGTTAAATTTTATAAGAATTGATATAGAGTTTTGGTTGGTGATCCTTTTCCGGCCGGATGATTGGATTTGTTTTAATGAATACCTAATAAATCATTAGAAAAGTTTGTTGCGGTCGATATGCTTGGGAAAAACACTGCAATTATTTGATTCGAACAAACTTTGCTTTGATCAATCATTAGTATCGATTCAATCGTGAATATAATTGAATAATATTCGATGAAATTTCTATCTAATTTTCTAATTCTGTTCGCAATTATTTTATAGTGACGTCAGTATCATCTCATATGGACACGGTTTATTTCGGAGGTATATTCTATACTGAAAATCTAAAAGCAAATAAAACGACTTCACTTTCACCACATAATTCTAATGTACAAGTGTCTTCGTTAAGAGCAAAAAATCTCTTCAATTTTTTGTGAATGATAGTAGTCTCGTGGGAAGATAATTTTATTTAGCTCCCTGCGCCAATGTATGAGTCCGTGAAATTTCATCATAGCTTATTTTACGAGTGTACTTGAAATTCAGTAAATTTTCCGAGAAAATTTTCATTCGGAAAGTATCAAATTAAAATGCCAACATCGTCGATTATTCCAACCTGCCAAAATATTAACATACATTAAGAAACAATCATTAAAATCATTTCAATCATTTTTGTGAAAATATGATGTATGACGAAAATTATAGCCCTACTCCAATGAACAATTAAAAATCTTCAATATAACCAACAATTTTAATGGCAATCTATCTGTACGAAAGTAATACGGGGCGTATGTATTCATATCGAATTTCTGGTTAAAATTCAATGTAAAGGAGTAAATAAACCGGCAGAATCAATTGAAGGTTATTCATCTCATTCGGTCGAATTTTATATCTTCCAATGTATCAATGTATCAATGCCAACCGAAAACTATATAAAAGCATATACCAACCATCGAATGATGTTATGCTTGTTGCTGTACGCTATAAATAGCGACTGAAATTTATTTCATTTCATTATTTTTATAATTATGTATTGGTTCTTATTCAATTGCAGTTCGCCAACGCTATAATAATTCAATTAGGCTGAGTGAAATCAACAATCATTCAACGAAAACACTGCAACAAGTGCTGTATGTGAGAGACAATAAACTCAAGACTGAAAGTATGTTTGTGGAATGCTTTGATAGTCCGGTTGCTGCCAGTAATTTGAATTTTGCCTGAAAAAATGGCAAACATTTTCAGAATAAGATGCATAAAGAACGAAACAACACAAATTCACATGCACACAACGAAATGTGCTTGAAGCGATCAAACCTCAGCCGGGTAAATGCTGAATAACATACTTCATCGATTTTTTAGACCTTACTGAATATGATATTGGAACAAGGTGACATTTACAAAACAACTGAAAAGAAATGATATTTTTCATAATTGAAATGATGATGATACTGTTATTTAGATACTTAAATTTGAAACAACGAATGTTGGCCTAATCTTAGCCAATTATTACACAATTTTATATTGTGTACCGAAGAATGAAACTAAATATATATAAACACATATACGTCCGAGTCGGAAATGGAATCGCATCGTCACGTTGCGGTGATAAAGGCACACCAAGAAACATAACAAAAGAGTTGAACGAACGGAATGACTTATCGAATATCAAACGAACACATTTGTTGACAACTATCAATCTTTTGACGAAAGTGTTCGAATTATAGCAAGTTTCAACAGGAACAATTTAAAATGTTGAAGTAGCAAATAATTGGCATTCTTCAGTTCATTTCGTACCTTTTTTGTCCAACCCTAGTATTGTGAAAATATATGCCTTTTATTTGTCGTTCTTCATGAATAAGTGCCGTCTGACAACGTTTTCTTCTCTCTTCTCTGCACTCGAGTCGAGAGAAAAAGAACCACTTGAATGAAATAAGGCATACATTCTAACAAGCTGCCAAAACTCAACAAGTGAGGAATTTAATATTATTTTCATGAGAATACATGTAACATTCATCAAGTCAGTGGAAATCAGACGGTTTAAAACAAAATAAAAATCCAAGTGAATAATTTATTGTGTCAAGTGTGCGTTGTCTGAACGTTGGATGTTGAATAAAGGGGCGAAAGGATTTCATGATTGGTATATGAGAGAGAAAATCGGTGATTGTATATGATTGAAACAGGTTTTTTAAACTTAAGATTTCTTTTCAAGCATTTGTATGAGACGAAATTGTTAATTTAATTCATTGAAAAGTTCAAAATTAAAAACAAATGAATTTGAGCTTGTTATTTTTCTGCTCGATGATGCCACTCAGCAAAAGTGTAAAAACAAAACATTTATCGAAAATTGAGTTCATTTAATTGAGGTTAATTGAGTTTCATCACACTGGTAATGAATCATATTGATGGCAGGAACCGGGTCGCATATAGAATAATACAAGGTATTTATACTTTGTATGAACGCAGACGCAACATATCCGTCGCTGTTCGCTTTGTGCTGCGCTCAATAAAAACAATGTATGTGCGTGCGTCTCTCAATACACGGCCACATGCACACACGAACATCTATTCGCAAGCTTCATACATAGCGAACAGCGATGGATATGTTGCGTCTGCGTTTATACTTTGTATATTTATACTGCCTGCGTTTTTTATGCTAGTAAAAAATTATACGCCACCCGGTCTCTGATTGATAGTAATATAATACAGGTCACAATACATCGGATCATGGAAGTAAATCTATTTATGCAATTTTTTTTAGTTGTGTGACAGTTTGAGCACAATTTTGGTACACTCTGAACAAACCGAAGCAACCAAACAGTTTTAATCCCTTCCACGTGAATGATACATTCCCGAAATGATAAACATACGTTACTATAGATTTAAATCTTTTGTTTTAAAAAAATAATTAATTTTTCATCATAATGAATTTTCAATAATAATTTTGTAAGTCCGCATATTCCGAAAACTTTTACAATGCATTGTTCTCATTTTTCCATAAAAACAGTTTCGAACGAAAACATAAACAAATCAAGTCGTGTTATTGTTAAAACCTTTTTTTGTTATTATTTCAAATAAAATTATAGAAAGTTAGCTCAGATATTCTTAAACGCAGTTGCACAGCAGGACTTCAACTTTCATGAAATTAGTTTTATTCACAGTACTTCTATGAATGTTCATTTAGTTTCTGGGACATTGTTTACACTGAGTGCTAGTTTGTTAGCCATATGCAAAATTATTCAGATTATTGGTAATTTTGAGAATAAACCCTCGACTATATCATTCAATAGGGCTATGTTTATTCAAAGTCAAAAATGACGCTGGATTCCAAAGTTTAACATTTTTAATTATAAGAAAAAAATCGTTCCGGAAAACTCTTCTATTATGGAAGTTCTATAGCAAAACCAACAATGCATTGTACTTGAACTGCAATTTGCGGCATGGCACACCTTTTTTTTTTAAACCATTCTGGAACCAGAATATTATAATTATGATTCTATTGAATCCACATTTCATTGGTCCGCCAATCGATAGACGAATAAATCGTTCATTGTAATAACCGGTGACTGGTGACTGTGGTAAAAAAAAACTCATAAAACTGTCATTATGTATATATCAGTAATGTGCGAGGCCCCCCCCCCCCCCCTGTGATTTGGATGAGAAAAAATTTTCCGCGAAAATTATTCGAATTTGCTAGGGTTTTTGATTCTAAAAGTGAAGACCTTTTTTTTTATCTCATCAAAGTAGAAAATTGAGAGGAATTCTTTCAATTTCCTAGGTTTTCTGGTTCCGAGTGAATTTTTTCCGATTTCCTAGGGTTTTTCGCGGAGAAAATTCTTTCGATTTAGATGACATTCCAAACTCTTTTCAACTCAAAACTACAGATAGTAATTTTTTAATGTATTAGTGTGTAACTGATTTGTAAGTTTTTGACATCCAAAAAAAAGTTCATTTGAATTTCCTATCTATACAGCTGCTCTAGAATAAAACAATCAATCAAATTCATTTTCAATTATCTCGGAAATCATGTTCCATAATATGTAATTTTAATATATTAAAACTAAATCAATTCGGAAAGGAATATATTTTTTTCCCACGAATAGTGATAATACAAGTTTCAATAAACTCTCTAAGTGATATTTTGACATGAAATGATTACCAAAATAAAAATAATAAAATAAAAACAAAATAGAATAAATTGTACGTAGCATTACGAAGAAAATTAAAAAAAATTATAATCCCACTGAATGTACAGAATGACTATAGTTTGGACAAAGAAGAAACTGAAAATATTGCTCATCAATGGCTTGATACAGACAGATTTTTAAAATGAACTAACTACTATCAAATATAAGATATAAGGACAAATGAATTAATATTGTACATATATTTATTAGGAAATTATCCCAAAAAAGGAAAATAAATGTTGTATGGAAATAAATTTTAAGGTACAACTTAGTGTTTATACTATTCAAATTCGAACGAATGATTTGTCTAATACAAAACAATTACATCCATAACCTCATCACACATCCCAATTTGCATACAAATACTATGTGTCAAATAAGTCATTTCATACAATAAATTGAAGCTGTAAAAACGAACAACACTGCAACTTGACATTTTGACCAGAAGCTCCGAGAATATAATGATTTCGCATTCATTCCATTTTTATATACAAATTGCAATGGATTTATTGAAAGTACAGTGTTGTAGAGCTAAAGTGTGATATACAATAACTATGTTGTTGTCCATAATATAATCAAAATGAAATACGCCGTCTGTCTAGAGAGCCATTTCGCACGCGGACTGAAAATGTGACTATCATGTGTTTCAATTAGATCAGAAAAATAGTCGCCATTCCATCATATTATTTCATTGCACACACATTTTGGTTTATTGATGCTGATGATGAAATGAAAACATTTCGTAAGGTACTTAATTTAAAGGAAGAAGAAACTCGTGGCATCATTAAAGCAAACAAAGGTGCATTCAATATTTAAGGTTTCTTTTCAAAATTTAATAATTTCAAAAATACTAAAAATTGAATGTAAAAAAATTTAAATAAAATGAAAGGAAAAATTGAAAACAACGGTGAGTACAACATTTAACCACATCACATGACATCACTGTAGTAAATTATTTCTTTTCAAACGATATATTTGGATATTGTCATTCAGATATTTCAGCATATCTGGCTGACGTCAGGCGCTGAAATGGAGTTACAACAATAGAAGTGACTGTCATAATTTTATACTGTCAGGTAAACACTTCCCTCACTTCTATTGTTTTCTCCTCCATTTCAGCGAGATGAAATATTTGGATGACAATTTCCAAATATATTTTCTATTACTTTGTGTTGTCGCCTGTCTTCAACAGCAGTGCTGCGACAACAAAAAACAAACAATCCCCATAAACAACTATTCATGCTCTGTACACAACCAAAATTGTGTATTTGCGATGCACTGAACATATTCAAGTAGAGATGGTGATAAAGAGCGACATGACAAAAATGAGATAAGTTTCGTTTGTATTTTTACATGTTACTATGAATTTATACATTTACGTAAAGTCAATGAGAAATTTTTGCATTCACGAAGTAATAGTAATAGTACTTTGATTAGAACGTTAACATGTATGCGTTAAATCGCATTTATGCCAAAAGAAATGAAAAGCTCAGCATTGGTTTAGAGTTTTAGAGTTTGCGAAGTTTGCGATCAGAGTTTATGGCATTATGTATTTAAAAAAAAAAAAAACTTTGAATAGAATGCATAGGTGTTGACGTTTTATATACGCAGTGAAACTTTGACGGTAAAATGCAGGAGATAATATTGTTTCGAATTTCAACAGTAATGCTCGCAAAAAAGCATTTATTTTACGTCAGTCAACGAAAATCTACGGCGAAACATCCGAAATTCTCTGTGTACTTTAAGCAAGCAATAAAATGGATTGCTTTTTAAATGACGTATTCATTAAAATAAATCCATATTGAGGCTATCGTTTCGATTTCAAACTAGTTATATAATACTCTCAGAAAACTCAGATGTTAAAATTCAAAGTAATCAGAGCAAAATGCCATTTTGAAATATTCCCATGTTAAAATGACGACAAAATGCCATTTAAACATGGAGAAATTTTGTCACATATTAAAATGCCGTTTCACCTGCAAAGAAATCTGTTGCGGCTAAAATGACATTTTACCATGTGAAAAAATACCCTCATGTTAAAATGGCATTTTGCTCTGATTACTTTGAATTTTAACATCTGAGTTTTCTGAGAGTAGGTTGACTCTGTAGTACAAACATATAATGATTGACGTGCGAAATTAAATCTATCAAAAGCGTACACTTTCATCTGGTATTTATGTTACAAAAATAGACGCTGTTTATTTGAATGGTATGCAAAATATCTGGATGCCATTCAAAACTCATGTGCCACACACACATTGCGGATATGCAATATGCATTCGAACGTGTGACATGCTTGAACAAATGGATATCATTTGCCGTATTCAGCAGCACAATTAAAAATAAATTAATTTAATTGATTTTAAAATTGAAGTTTTTTTTTAACATTAAACAGCGTTGAATGGGAAAATGAAACAAGCTGTGAAATGTATATATTATGCACATATTTATAATTATTTGGAACTCAATTAAAGAATCTAATTGAATTTAAAATGGTTTTGCGTAATTTTATTGGGTTTCATCACATCGCATGGATATCTATATTCATTTATTACCAAATTTCATAAAATTAATTGTGATTGAGCTATTTTGTGAAATACAAATGTTAAATTAAATCAATTTTTATAATTCATATAATTTATAGTGTGATGGGTAATTGTGTTTAAGCTTTACGATTGCTTGAGCTTATTAACTTAACTTTCTATTATGGGAATGGATTATTCGTTTGTAAAATAAGCATTATTTCGACATAGTTCGTATCCGAAATCACAGATGTCTGTAAAGCTCAAGTTTAAAAGCTTAGCGAGAAAAGCTCCATCATTTTCCAAGCAAAAGTTGTCAACATACACACAAACTATTTTTGCTGTATGGGTTACAACAAAACTTAGCTATCAGACGCGATACAGTATTTTACTGTAATTTAAATCAAAATTACAATATTTTGCTGCAACTTATTTTAATTTTTATTTAAATACAATAAAATTGTTTGAATGACAATGAATTCGCTTGGATATTTTCAGCGATCTGGAATAGTTTGACAGTTCTGATACAAACCAATTTGAAAACGGCTTCTGTGATTGGTTTCAGTTTTGGCTCAAACCAAAACGGGGCAAGCGAAACGTAGAGAAAATGGTTTGCACTGTGTCCGTGTAAACACACACACACACACAGTCGCGTACAGCTGCTAGCATAGCACGCAACCAGATACGAATACATACTTTACAATAGTGTATATACACCAGTGCAAATCATTTTGAAACCGTTCCGCATGCTCCGGGTTGTTCAAAGTATCAAACCAAAAAATGGTTTAATCACTGGATATTTTAAAATATAAGATTCCATTGAATTTAAATAAAAATTAAAATAAGTTACAGCAAAATATTGTAATTTTGACTTAAACTACAGTAAAATACTGTATCGCGTCTGATAGCTAAGTTTTGTTGTAACCCATACAGCAAAAATAGTATGTGTGTAAGCTAAACACTTTTCTCTACGGTGTTATCTAGGAGTTGATAAAACAACCGTTACTTTGTATTTGGTCGTAACGATGGAGTAGCCGTAAAATTTGAGCAGATTTAATGGGCAGCTTAAAAATTGAACTTCCAAAGACAGCTTTATAAATAAAACTCACAGCCTTAAGAGTAGAGCTTACATCACATAAAATATAAGTAGCTTTTAAGCTGGGGAATTTCTATTTGAATTTGAAAAGAAAAACTGAACATTTTCTATCCGTTGATTTATGAGTAATATGCGCGTAAAAATCATCAACTGTAATCCGTCTTGATATATATATATAATATATTTCGTGCGTCTTATGAGGATACGCGGCGCGTGCCCTTTTATTTCACAGCGTCTTTAGATATTTATCTATCAACACACATATATATAAGTGCGTAGAGCAAGTTGAAAAAGGAGACATTTTTTGTTTCGAAATTAGCAGAGAGTATCATCTCAACTAATAGCTGTAGGCTGAATTTTCAAATTCCTCCCTTTCGCTCTCACCATAAACTTACATGAAAATATTTGATTTAAATTAATGAGGAAACAATATTATGTTGCTGCATAAAACTCACATTTCGCCGAAGGCTATGAACATGATTATGCCTAAGTCATGTATTGTGTGGAAAATAGTTAAAAGTAAATCATAAAAAAGCTTCAAACTCCATACAGACGAAGACTTTTGAATGAACACATCGCATTGGATTGTTGATTTCGTTATATATACATTTTTGTTTCATCACAAATATACTAAAGCCAAGTGAACTTTGGAGTATTGTGTTCCCTTGTGGAAAAAAAAATGACTGACTGACTATAAATTAAGTCAATTTTAATCACTTTTATTCGGTTAAAATTACCAATAGATGATTGAAATCGAATATAGTCGGTTATGTTTCAGAGTCAACTAAAAGTGATTATAGTCAACATAGTTGACAAAAGTCAATTTCA